CCACTTACTTTTAAAAACCTTCCTCCTTGGACTGTCTGCACTGCAAGTTTAAATAGGGCCCTTGAATAAGTGACAGAGTGAGGTTCAAAATTGGCCCCAGCAGAACACATATAATATACATGTTCAGGTGAGTGCAGCCCTCTTGGTTTTATATATATATCTGTATATATTATGTGAGTGTTTGTATGTCAGTGAAATTGTGTGTGTGTTAGTGAGAGATAGTGTGTAAGTGACTGTGTGTATGAGTTAAACATGTGTCCATCCCATAAATATATATTAGTTGTATAGTCTATATTAATATAATTATGCATTCAATTAAAAACAGATTTACTTAAAAGAACATTATAGGGTCAGGAACACAAACATGTATTCCTGACCCTAAAGTGTTAATAACACCATCTAGCCTCTCTGTACCCCCTTCACTCCCTTGTCCCCCTTAATATAGTATAATCTTACCTTTACTCCAGTCTGCTGCTGTGACTCTGCCCCTGATCTGCCTCTTTGGCTGACATTATCAGAAGTGTTAATCAAAGCCAACCACAATGCTTTCACATAGGAATACAGAAAGCTGTAGTAGTTCTGGTGAATATAGTTTAACGTTAACCCATCAGACTAAGTATTCTCATAGAAATGTAGGTCCATGAGGTTGTGGCACCAACCCCTGTGACACCACTACACATTGCGAGCAACATACAAATTTACTTTTTTAAACATATAAAAGGAGACACATACTGTACAACTATAGATACTTGTTACATATACAATAGACCTATATAATATGGTAATACATTAATGGGGTGCTCTAAGATCCATAACCACTACAGTGTAAGCTCGTTTGAGCAGGGTCCTCTTCAACCTATTGTTCTTGTAGGTTTTTGTACTTGTCTAATTTATTGTTAAATCTCCCCCTCTGATATTGTAAAGCGCTATTGAATATGCTGGTGCTATATATCTACCAATAATAATAATAATGAAGCATGCCATCGGCACCAAACCCTGGTTCTATGTCAAACACTTCTCATTTTGACATAATCCTGGGGTCCCCTGGGCTCGCGTGGCTTGGTTCCTCAGTTGCCAAATGGTTACAATTTTGCATAAGCAATATCATTTTTGTCCAAATATGGATGACGTTTACCGGCTGTGTGTGTTAGCAGGTCACTGCATGTCTACAATTTACTTTCTGTGCCTTGAGTCAAATTGACCTGTTCTGTGTGTATTTGAGCTGAGGTTCATCCAGGCTGATTTACCTTTTGTTATTTTCATCAGTTTGGTCTAATGAGACTGTATATCTTTAAAGGCCCAGTGTCCATTTTGAGCTAAACAGCTTAGCAATGCTGAAGTGGTAGTGGTATTTCCAAATTGAGGGAAAAAGCAATAATTATACTTTTACAGGAGGTAAGTCAATTAACAGTTTTATAAATCTATTACTTATTAAAAAAATATCCACTGCTTTTAAGGTTTGTTTTGTTTAAGAAGATAGTTTAAAAGCTATACCAGTGGCTCATCCAGCATTTACACTTGTTAATCTTCCCATGTAGCATATCTGTTAGAAAGGGATATTTGCACTTTCAAATCTTTTAGGACAATGTTACACTGACAAATGTGCAGGTATTTGAAACTGAACAGTTTTCTAGCTCCATTTCAGTATGATTTTTAAATCAAATTTCGCTAGTATGATATAGAGACATTCCCTTGATTTTCCAAAGGCCTGTAATGTAATTAAACACAATACCCTTCAAAATACATTAAAAAAAACTCAGCTACTGATGATGTGTGCACGTGGAGCTCCTAAGGTAGATTGTCAGACCTTTTCTATGATCTTAATTTCTAAATGACATTTTCAATGGGTGCAATGCGCATGTATATAAATAACACCAATATTTATGCAAACAAATCAATGTAATCACAATTGGGACTGCATTACATGATGATTTCTCAGAGGTTGGAAGATGGACTGCTAAATCCAAACTTTGTTTATATAGTAGCTGAACATTTGCAATTGTACTTAGAAAAAAACAGACTACTAAATCTAATCAATCCCTAACAAAATATTATATCCAAGTCTAATTGTAAGCTGGTTAACGTTACAATTAATATCTTGAGAGGAGGTTGGATCCCAAAGCTCATTGGGCTTCACATTGAAAAACTATCTCCAAACCTTATCGAAAAACTAGCAACTACCTTCAATCAATGATCCATATTGATGCCCCTCCTCGTTCCCTCCGCTCTGCCCGTGACCACCTCCTGACCGCTGCTCACATCTGTACTACTCGCGCATGCAGGACCTCTCACGGGTGGCTCCTTTCCTATGGAATAGCCTGCCTACCGCCATCAGACTCTCCCCTAGTCTTCAAACATTTAAGAAGTGCCTTAAAACCCATCTCTTCAGGAAAGCTTATGGCCTCCCAGAGTAACCTCTACCTTACATACTTGTCTCTTGCTCTCTCCTATAGGGCAGCACTCTACCCCCTCCTCCAGCTCTGCTTCACTCCCACCCTTTTTGATATTTCCTGTCCTAATGTGTCTTATACCCCACCTCCTATAGACTGTAAGCTAGTTTGAGCAGGGTCCTCTTCAACCTATCGTTCCTGTAAGTTTTCTTGTAATTGTCCTATTTATAGTTAAATCCCCCCCTCTCATAATATTGTAAAGCGCTACGGAATCTGTTGGCGCTATATAAACTAAATTCACCTCTGTACAATTTGTTCTCAAAGTCACTACAGTAGCTATCATTGTGATTGGCTGAAATAACTAAACCATAAAACTCTTGAATCCAGATGTACCCTTCAACTTTCTTGTCTGGTTTATAATTATATAGTTGGGAAACTCCCACACTACCTAAGCAGTATATTCTCTCCAGCTGTTTGCAACCTCAGTGACCTATGTTCCCCTCCACACTTTACTTTTCATTGTTGACTACAAAGGTACGAGTGTCAATTAGCTTTCTACTTTGGAGCCCCTAAAATATTGCATTTTACAAAATCTTCCACCAATTTGAAGTTTTTCTAAAACATCTACATCCATCTACCTTCAGTTTCAATCAAAATGCACTGTTAAAGGAACACTATAGTGTAAGGAATATACACATGTATTTATGACACTATAGTGCTGGAAAGCAGCATTAGGTCACTGGCACCCCTCTCCTCTGGAGATGAAAGGTGATTTTGTTCAATTTTTCTTCCATACCGCACAGGTCTCGCTGCGACTGGCCCCGCCTAGCTCTGTCTCCGTGACTGAGATTATCAATTTTGATTTTCTCAGCCAATCCAACACTTTCAAAGGCTATAGTGCATGCGCAGCTAAATACAGTGCAGCACCAACCAGCATCTCCTTATGAAGATGCCTTGAATCAATGCTTCTATGTGGGGAACGTTCAGCACCTTCATGCAGAGTGTGGAGATGCTGAACACCAATGCTGCACTGGACTAGGAAGCAACTCTAGTGGCCTTCTGAGTGACTGTCAATAGAGGTGTAACTAGCCAGCAATGTAAGCACTGCCTTTTCTGCAAATGCCCTATTTACAGTGCAAAAGCTGCAGGTATATGATATAGACACCAGAACCACTACGTCAAGAAATTGAGTGGTTTGTTTCTAGCAAATTGTTTTAAATAAAAAGAAAGATTAAGTCTGTATGTCTGAGGATATATTTAACTACTGAAAAAACTAATACTTGACAGGGTTTAAACAAATTTTCCTCAACTCAGTGTTAAGAGAAATAAAATAGAATATATTCAATGACCCAAGCTTTCTATTAGCTACGGCAGTGTGCATTCTAACAAGATTACCTTTTTCCACTTTATGAGATAGATAAATACTTCCAATCAAATTAGTCTGAAAGTAAAAAATTTCAAGAAGTCACACAAAATCTGTATGGATTGGAAAAGAAACATTCTCTAGTATAAACTGTGGACTAACGGAGTCTTTATGGTGATACTTGAACACAATATCTTTGATGTCGTATTGTGCAATATTCTTTGTATTAAATTGCAGTTGGTTAGAATTTTCATGGTAATGTCCCCTCAAAAAAATAAAGCTAATATGCTAGTATTAGGTTTTGTTTTACATTCAGGGTGAAGTAGTTTGGTATTTGTAGCTATGCATACACTGCGTGATTGTGCCATTTCCATAACACCCATTAATTAATGCCACACTGCCAGACACTACTGCCCGTTGCACAGTCACCTAGAACGAGAGATTTAGCTTTTTAATATTTGAGTGTTCACTAACTCACAGATTCCAATTAAAGTGTCAACATGACGACATTAAGCATTTTCACTCAGTTGCTACATGTCAATTTTGATAATGCATCACTTTAAAGAAATGGAAAATGTTCAACACATTGAAATATTTTTCCTATGTCTCGTTAGTGGTCGACAAATTGCTTTGAATTGAATCACAAATCATTTGTCTTTGATTTTTCTCTCCATTTAGCTTCACACTAGGGACATGGGCTTATGATTCTGAACAGGCAAACTAAGACCACAGGTTGTGAATGGCACCTTCCTCCGTCTTTCAATATCTGCTTGCAAACTTCCTAACAGTTCCTCTTGTCAAAACAGGGCATTTTAATTATAGGAAAGACCTCAAACATCTCTTAACAATCCAGACTTTAGGTATTGCAGAATTCTGTGTCAATGTGGGTTTTGATAAACATTGGACAGTTGTTGGTCCATTATCACTGTTTAACAAGTGTGCCTTGTGCATTGAGTGTGCAGCAATAAGGAGACTGCAATTATTCACATGATGTCCACCAACACACGATGGGTAGCATTTGTACACCCATACCTTACAAGGTAAGTACCATGGTTTGCCTGAACATTCTCGATACTTATAACATATTTCTTAATTTTATGATAATAAAACAATGCCGATCAGAATGTTATCTGTCCAACTCTACCAAAATGTCATAAAAAAAATGTTTGGCGTTTGATAAATTTAGAAACTGAAGACACATTGATTTCAATAACTACTTTATTATTTTTTTTTTTCATTATATTTTTTCCAGAATGCAAACATTTGCATTAACTTTACTATTTTACAATTTTACAAACTAGGTATAAAAAGAACATAAATAAACAAGATAAGTTATGCGTACCTAATTTCCAGGGAAGAGGAACCACTTATTCTTCCCCACCCAGCAAAAAATAATTAAAAAAAAAAATCCCAAAAGTACAAATGAACTAAAATAAAAAAGGGGTCTAACCAACATAAGATTAAACAAAAATTGCTCTGTTAGAACTTCATTTTTATACATTT